TTGTTTTCCTCTAGGGTTTTAAGATGTAAAAGCCAGTTCCTTGGCCAAACCTGGAACCAAACAAGTATTCGCTCTAAGTCAGCGCTGCAAAGACAAGGACTTCAGCATGTCCAGAATTTGCAGGAGGACTTCCAAGATCCTGTAAAGAAATTACTGAGCTTGTCCACAGCAGTGATCTTCTTGTTTGCAGGGAACAGAGCCTTGCCATGAATAACTGTCAATGGCTAAAACCACCCCTGAAAAGCTAGAGCAAAGTATTTCACTTTGCCCTCTGAAAAGCTTTACACAGCAAGGAAGGTGAGATCTATAAGGAACAATGTTTCCTTTTAATTTTTGGATGCCCATAGAGAGAACTAACATTTCCAACTCTATTTGCATTACAGATAATATACAGGATGTTTTTTTCCTCTTCACGGAAAAGGAAAAGGGTTGACAGTATTTTCACACAAAAAAGTTGGTACTCCAGGACAGGGCAGAATGAGGGCCTGGCCAAAGAGAGACATTTATCCATTTTCTCACACAGAAGAAAAATGACCCATGGCAAAAATGCAGCTATCCATAAAGGCAAAGCTGCTTTGCAATAAAGAAAGTTCACAATGCAATGACATTGCAGTAGATATAAAAAATGGCAAGAGAGAAATCTGTAAGGTACAAATGCCACTTAGGCATCTTTTTACTTCCAAAGGCAAAGACATCTTTATCCGGTGCGAGAACGCAGATCACATCAAGGCAAATTTCCTGTAGAATACTGCAGCTTACACAGCAGGTCATGAATACTTGATGTGCCCTTCAAACATCATGTCTCCATCTCTTGAAAAGTCATCTTTGCACAGACCAATGAATCTTGCATTAAAAAATTCACTACTATGACTTGTTTCCTTGACTGCCAATTTATAAAAGTTCCCAAATAAACCTATTTTAAGTACCTGTTTTTCCATTTAATCTCCAGAACCAAGAATGAACTGTAAGATTTTTCAGACACAGCTGATCCTTAGAGGAAGAGAGACAGACTAGTTAATTTATCAGAGTCTCTTCTAGGTCCATTTTTCAGTATTTTCAACCCCAATTTTCACTGTAAGTAAACAGTAGAATCAGTCATTTTCTCAGTATTTTGCTAACACTACACAAAACTTTTCTTTCCTATATACAGCTATATTTATAGTCACTTAAGTAGAAATATTTTGAGAATACTCAAAGCCTAGACCATCCCTTAAGACTCTGCATSTTGCATCCATGTTATCAGCAACATAAACTTGGTTTGTGCTCAGGCTATTTATATATCCTTAGCAGAAGGTGGCATTATTTTTTAGGAAGGATCCTGATGTCATCCTGTCTGCAAGACATCAATTTTGTGATGCACCTGGAAGGCCAGATGGATAGAACAAGAACTGGTGGGGTAGGGCAGCATGGTGCCCTGCACTGGTCACCACCTTAGAAAGAACATTATCCTGTTATACCAGTGCTGTCCTTGAGGGAGATCGGGTCTTAACGGGGGAAAGTGGGAGCAAGCAGCCGATCTGGATTTATGCCAGACTGGAGGCTGCTCTGGCACATCAGCAGAGATGCAGACTCACGTTCTTAGATGATGCTTCCTCACCGCAGGAACCAAGTGCTTTGCAACACAGCTAAGCCTGCCGAAGCAGGCAAGTACATCACCATCTCCAGCCCCAAATGAAGGCCATCTCTGCAGCAGATGCACCAAGCTTTGGCCAGGGCCAATGCAGGACAGCTGTGCCAGCAGGATCCTCTTCCTGGGGTGCCTCAGGAGCGGGATAACCACAGGCTATGCTGAGACCTTCCCCTCAGCGCGGTGCAACCAGCAGCCACATGCTCAGGGACACACTCTAAAGGCACCAGGGCTCTACAGCCAAGAGATAACGACACCTTCTTTTGCTCCAGTAAAAGATGTGTGGACATGCAGCTTAGGAGGTACTTTAAATGATGGTGACTGAAGCAGAGAAGTCATACAAAGAAAGGAAAAGAAGGGAAACAAAGCTTTTGTGGGGGGAAACAAAGCTTTTGTAGAGGCAAATGTTTACGCATACACTGCTGAAATTAAATCTAAAAATATTATATTGCCTAAGTTAATTTAGAAATATTTTAAGATAAAAGGAGTTGTTTAAAGCCAGGAGGAGGGGACTAAAATAACACGTTATGTTTACAAAATCCAGGAAGTTTGTAGCATCTTCTGAACATCTTTCTTAAGACAAGAATGCAAATTTGTAGAATAAACTCTAAAACCAGGAAAAAAGACTCCTGTAAAACTCGTGTCTTACTCTCCTAACTTGCAGAGAAGTCATCTGCATCACCGCACGTTCACAGAAGCTCTGCTGATGCTTCAACGACCTAGCCTGGTAGCAGGAAGCTATTTCCTCAGCAGTGTGAGAGGGCACCACAAGCTTTCTYCTCATCCACTCCTAACCTTGCACCAGGCTTTAAATCACAGCTGACACCGTCCAATATCTTCTACTACTATAAATTCTATCAGGTTTTATGCCCACCGATCTACTATGGTAAAACAGGTCATTAAACACACTGAAGAGCAGACTGGTGATACCTCCAGATATCCACCAGTGCAATATGATATCCCATTTCACATGGATATGTAAAGTGTCCTCGTTCCCAATCTTCCAAACCAATGGGATTAATATTAAAAAAATCAGCACATTTTCAAGTGCAAAACATTGCAGACTTACTGCAGGGCTGACAAGAATTATGTTCTACTTCCAGTGTGGGCATACCACATATATTTTAATGAAATACCTTGATATTTACACATTCCATCTACTTTAAAATGCTTATTTTTTAGGACTGACATTTGAGAGAAGAGCTAACACCATAAATGTGACTCCTCTATGATTCTTTTAAACTAATAGAMGCACTTGATTCCAAAAGAAAAAAAAAACAAACAGTTCTTTAGCCCAAATATCCCTTCATCTACAGATGCAGGGCAGGCCTTCACCTTCCTTTGGTACTATAGTCAAGGACTTGAAAGAGGAAAAAGAAAAATATATTTTTGTGCAGGGGGAAGGAAAAGGTCCAAACTGTTTTTAAAATTGAGTTAATTACAGCTCCAAAACCCTGATCACGATTGACTCCTTCAACTTTTTTCTTTGCATTTAAGCAATATAACAAAATTTTTTAAAAAGACATAAGCAAAACGAAGGACGAGGACAACTGTGCTTCATCACTTTAATGCTGTCTTGACCATTTGGAGGTCTCAGTACTTGCTTAATATGTCCTATTCTGACTTGGGAAAATAGCACTCACTGTTGGAAGAAAAGACACCGAGCAAGCCCAGAGACAGCCTGCTACCAAGGGAGCCAGACTATTTCCTCTATCCTGGACCTTCAGCCAAGGAGAAAAATGGTTCTGGAAGTGGATTCTGCCAATTGCTTAATGTGCCAAGTGATAAAAATTTAAGACACTTTTTAATGCTTCACCTCATTTAGTATTAAACTATGAGCCATACAMTGGTACATGGAGGTTGGACTAGAAGTCCTTAGAGGTTCTTTCTAATTTGCTTACACAGAAGGCAAAGTGACAGTCTAGGCAAACCAAAACAAGCCTATCATACAAACACCAAGTGTGTTGAATGATTAAAGAACCATTCAAGTGAAGAGCACTGTGGAAGAAATGGAGAAAGAAAAACAAACACAAAAACTGAGTGCAGTCAGTAGATTACCCTCAAACAATGTAAAACTATGACAGATGGTTCTGGCCCTGCAGTCAACAACTACTTCCTTACATAAAGCTTAAGACAGCAGGGAGTTACTGCAGACTTAGGCCACGATAGAGTGTACCAAGGATACCGATTCTCTCCCACCTTTTTCCCATGACCATTCTCAAAATGACTTTAAACTACCATGGGGCACTTCTTCAATCCAAGGCAGGTAAAACAACTACCAGTGGTGGAGTCCATCAAAGGGGGTCACTTTTTGCTGACCTTGTTTCTGGCGCTCACTGTACAGAGGCAAGCCAAGTGGCGGCTGCTATTGATTTGTTCTGACTGCTTTTGAAGCGCAACAGCTTTCTGCTCCTCTCATCTTTCCCATCATTAATTATCCTGAGAGAGAGCACGGGGAACAGACAAGACTTGTTACAGAGGAAACGGTACGAGCGAACACGAGGTGACAGTGCTATGAACATGACTTTGGCACCACAGGATTAGCACGGGCAGGCGATTATGCCCTTATTAATGCCTGAGACAAGGGGAAGTGAAGGCCTAGTCAGAGCATTTGTGTTTCTGACACAGGCCTGTCCTCCTCAGYTGTAGAAAGGAAAAGTAGGATTTGCAACCCTTTAGTCATTTTTCCACKCCTTTTAATGAATATGCCCCTTTTGAAAATCCGGGATTAAATACTTCAAAATTTACAGTTTGGGGCATGAAAAAATTGACTTTCTCACCATCCTAACCAAGTCCACCACTTCAACCAAAATCCTCCCCATGCAATCTCATTCAACATCAGCACCTGAAGTTCTAGTCCAATAACAGGCTGTCACAGCAGCCACATGGGCACTCGGGCAGCATCCTGCTGAGCTCTGAGGAAGGCTGAGGAGCAAGGACGAGCTCTAGCAAATTCTAGTCCCAATGTGGGGCATGATGGATGGTGCAGCTGAGTCGCTGAATYAGTTTAGTGGAAGCTCTCCACAGAAAAATTAAGCTTTCTGCAGAAAACAAGGTCAATAATTCAGCAGTGAACACATATCCTCTTACATGGTCCTAGCCAAAGCCCTGAAATGATGAAGAAAAGCTCTTTTCAGCCTCAGTGCCCACATTTTTCAGAAAGATTTATCTATTTAATGCCGTATCACATAACCAGCAGAACAGACAAAACACTGATTCTTGATCTGAGCTATTGTTTAACTGTTTTTCTACCAGAAGGCTCCAAAACAGTGTTTCCACATCCTTCGTAAGGATGGCACGTGTGCCCTGGCCTCTCGCCTTCGTTCCTGTTCAGAACACTCAAAGCCACCACCAGCAGAGCTCCCCCTTTTACCTTCTGTCGTTGCTGAATGTTGCTCATTGTGTCTGGCTGAAACTCCAGTTTGTCTGTCCGGCAAAGTTTCCAGTACAAAATGATGACGATGAGGAGCACCACAGCCACGGGGACCGCCACACCAACAATAATCCACAGGTTGCTGTTCTGCGACTCTGRAGATGACCCCTTCAGCTTTTCCAGAGCTGTAAAGTTAGAAGCAAGACTATTCTAAGTGRCTGTACATTTTTAACTGGGAACACTTCAAGAAAAATACACTTCAATTTATTCTTATCTTTTTGCAAATGCTAGGTAAGGGATTTATCAGGAACCAGTTGCACATCGCAGGAACTGTCACACACACTTAAGTCAATGGATGTCACATTCAGAAAGCATTCTTGCCTACCTTCGGAGACTTGTGCCTAAGTCACCACATGAAATGCATTTTTGCCACATCACCCTCTAACTCCAAATGAAGCTGACATAGTGAAATGTGTCTGGAAAATTAATCTACCGCTAATAGAGGTGAAAACTATTCYACATTGCTGCCTAAGTCCTGCTATCTCTTCTCTTTGGCAATACACTATACATTTTGCTGCTTCTATCAATAACCACAGTCAATTTTAAAGCAGTAAGACCCTTTTCCCCAATGTGTAGGGTTACAAATTCCTTATTAATAAATTACTTTATTTTCTCTATTTCATTGTCACTGTCAGGAGATCCCCRACAGCATACAAAGACAATTATACTGGAAAATGCAATCCAACCACTAACACATGTTAAACCTGTAACCGAAGAATTGACAGAACTTTAATTCACTCTGCTCTGCACAGTGGTTCCACTTGGGACTGAAAGACACAGCAGTAGTGCCTCTCTAGACAATTAAATGCATTTTCTTAAAAGAGTGGTTCCAATTAAAACTGGTATTTCTGTATAATCTTGTTTTTATATAACATCTAAATAACAGTTATTTTCATTATGAATCTAGAGATTAAATGGAAATAATATAAATTTTCAATTTCAATACAAAACCATCCATGCTATTTTATTTTCTGATATAAAATATATTTCTTTTAGTTACTCCTCTAAGAAGAAAAAACATTTAAAACATTATTTCTATGCCTCTTTAAAGAACTTTTTAATTGTTCTTGAAGATACTACATTTCAACACACAGAATATGCTATAATCGCTCCACAAAGTTTGGTCAACCCTTACCATTTCTGTAAAGGGTATGTATTCTTGTAACCTGTTGCATTTTGTCTTGCCAATATTATACTCTATTAACAGAAATCAAGCAGACTGGTTACTGAACAATCTTTAAACTACTCTTTAAATGTGGAACAAAATTGAGAAACATGAAAACACCCAGACGGTTCAATTATCTCCATTTTCTTTCTCTTCTTTCTGTAGACAATTCTAAAAATSAAGCACATGCCAAAATACCCTGTGGTACAATGCAACTCATGCTTCAAATACTGCACAGAACACAGAAAACCTAATTAAGCATTTAAATCTATGAAGTACTTTATTGTTCAGATGCATCTGGTTTTTGAGGGACCTTGTTTATTTGTCTGTTCTTTAAATATTTTCAAATTTCCTTCCTAACTACAATACAATGTATTGAGTAAGTTTTCTCTCTGGCACCTTACTGCAAATTATTTAAATATCAAGCTGCCCAAATAAAGTTTATTGTTCTGTTATTTATTGTTAAGATCGCCTGTCCTATGTATTCTGATTAATGCACAACAATATTACCTTATTAAATGTTCACTTTACTTCTWTATTAACCCCTCAAATTCGAGAAGAAAAGAGTTTTCTCTACTTTGTACACTCCCAAATACCTTGCAACTAGCCCTCATCTTTCACTCACAGAAACAGCAATTCAGACAAACAACAAATAAGGACTAGTCCTAAGAGTGATCACCAGAGCTCAGATGCAGGAAATGCCCATTCCACTGATCCTCCCCATTCCGCAGCACTGGGGCTTCTGCAAGCTCCTGGACAAGAGGAACCRTGCAGAAACACCAGACTAGCAGCAGGAAACAAAAAGGGCACAAAGCACCCATAAAACTTCTCAGTATCCAGCTAGTGAAGTGTGCTGCTAGGGTGGGAGCAGTGAGGCCACCCTCTTACAGACCTTGCTGCAACCCCAAGCTCGGCAGGGCCTGTGGGAAGGCAGCAACACGGCATCGCCCAGCAGCCCGTGCCCGCTGGAAGGCATTTCTGTAGAAGTGCCAGAACAGGAGCATCCCAAGACAAAACACCACAGTGGTGGATACTGTGAAGCGCCCTCATCTCCATAGCTAATGTCACCCTTTCTGTTTCTCCCCGCTGGCACTGGGGGGATATAACAAGGCTTACGCTGTGCAACGGTGCCTTCGATGCGGTATCCAAGGATGATCGCGGCTCGCTGGATATCAACCCTGTTCATGAGATCCGAACACTTCAGAGCACTGAGTCTCTTCCCATCTTGATCCTCCACAAAATAGATCAGCTCCACAGGGTTATCAGTGCCATCTAATCGCGACACATTTACAATCTGAAAAGAAAGAAGCATCGTTTTACATTTTAAATTGTATTTCATTAGGGTTCCCACATATTTGGCCTTTATTCTTACCTGCTTCAATGCATTTGTTTAGAAAGAAAGATTCGGAACAGCTTTGCCATGATGGCACGAGGATCTCTCTCAATTGCTACTGTTCATAGCCCCTAGTGCATAAGCATTAAATCTCAGTGTAGCAGTACAATTGCTACAAAATTAAACCCCTCTACCTTGCATACCTAGGAACATGACATTATACTAATTACACAACTAAGCTAAGAACTGCTAAAGTTTGAAAACTGTCACTATCCACGCTAAGTCTGATAGGAAGACAATCCATGCATAGTACTCCAAAATCCTTGAAGTGGCAAAAGAAACATATACACACGTATATCCTTCTCTCATGTAAGAACTTTATTCAACGTTAGACAAGGGCAGCTACATAGAGTTAATAATCAGTAAAATAATTTGCTCCCAAACTAGAAGTCAAGATAGTGACATCTGATTGGGACAGAGAGGATCTGGGTGGAAGTCTTCCAGAGCAAGGCATTAGAGGAATGCTAAGTCAGTGCCTAATTACATAAGCACTATTCAGCTACTTYGGGACACTTAGAAATTTGCAGATTTACAAGTTCTTTTGTAACTGAGAGAAAAGCTTCCAAGGACGTGATCTGCATAATACATTTTTATGGCAAACCTAAAGTTTTTGGCTTTTCTCCATTTGCTTCATGATGCAGAGATGAGTGTGAGTGGAAAGTGGCCTCACACAGTTGCCAACCAACTTTTATAAAGGTACTTGTAAAATCTGGTGTTTGTAAGTACCCCGAGTTTCTGAAACACAAACGGGTTCCATGTTTTGGTGTTCTGTAGGTCAGTTGGCTGCGATTCTCTGCACGTGTTTGGAACTTAGACTGTGGTTTGTTCTGCATGCTGATTTTTCAAATGCGCAGGTGGGAAATAAGGGATGCTGGGAGAAGGTCTGAAACTCAAATTTTCCATTTTGAAGAGAATTGCTTTTCACCATCCCATCCTAGAAGCCTTGGATACCTTACTATTATCTTTACTTAATAGAAGCTATGGGAGAAATTAATTTGATTGTCTTTTTCCTTCTCTAAGCCCCTACTCTGACTTCACTTTGCTATTCACAACACACCCTCTTTCTTCTCCCAGATTTTCTGAATGTTAAGCACATACATAGGCAAATACTCTGTCAGTGTCAATTAGAACGGCACTTCCTCAGCTAAAGCACCTGCACCRTCAACTTCATCTTCCAAAGAGCTCCCCCTCGCTCCCGCCCTTCTCCAGGGAAGAAGGGGATTTATTCCACCCTGTGGGAAGCCACTTTTSCTACCTAGTTCTAAGGAAGTTAATAATCAGAAGAATGTGCGCTACGAGGCAGCCCTGCAGATAGTGTCTAACCACTGCGCATCTAAATTGTAGATGAGACTCAYGTAACAATCTTACATTCCTGCAAAATTAAACCTCATACGTTGTAAGTCTTTTGTTTAACCATTTATATGGAATGGTGAACTCAACCTACAACTAAGCCAAACAAACAGTAGGAGTTATTTTATCAGGTTAATCAGAGTTTAAAGAGAGCTGTAAGGAAATGCCGCAACAGGGCGTTAAACTTAGTTTCTTTCACAATTCTTCTTTGCTATGAAGTGTGTATTTAACTAGTAAATTAGTCTCCAACAACTACCCAAAGGCCTAAAGTAAAGCAAACACACAAAGGCTTGCACAACTGAGGCTTACAAAAGCTAAGTTTTGAATTTTTCCAGCAAAAAAAATCACGTTGCAGGGAAGTACTGCAGTGTTCTGCTTCAACAAGGAGGAAAAAAACAGGGTTTTGCAGACATCAAGTCAAGTGTCCTAAGCTAGCACAGGGAACGGCAAAAAAGAACCTCCCAGTTGTGGTAACATTAAAGTATACATTAAAAAAAAAAAAAAGAAAAAAAAGAGAGAGAGAGAGAGAGAGAGAGAGAAAGAGCAATCATCATGAAAGCCTTCTAATGGCAATCATCATGAAAGCCTCCTAGCCTCAATTACCTGAAGGCTAAAGCAAAGAATACTAACCAGCATTAGGCCATTTGGTATAAGCAGCAAGGAAGAGAGCACATTTCTGAACCACGGCCCRCCCTGCTAACAGGACCAGTTGAGCAACGCCTCTTTTCTCATCCTGGTTGAAACACCCCTGCTGCAGGGGCTACGAAGAGGAAGGCCTCTGCTGTGGGGAAAGGGCGGAAGGGAAGGAGGAAAGATTCCAGCTGCCATGACTGAAACAATACAGTCCTAATAGATAACGAAAACCAATGAAGATTTAATAGAGTTTATGGCTTCGGATGTTGAGGAATAGGGGTGGGGAAGAGGGGAAGCAGAAAAGAAGAAGCTGGAGGTATTTTGGCAGAGTGTAGGGAACATGGGAATGAGCATGAAGTAACTGAATGGAGGGTGGACGTAGAGGCTGGTGCTGATGAACTGAGCTCACTGTTTCGAGATATCTTTTCTCTGAAATCATTTCTGAATTCACAATTCTTTATGAGTTCTCACGGAGGGAAGCTGCAGCCTAAACCTGAAATCCAGGGGGAGCAGGTTATGGATTTCTACCCCAGGAGAGTTGATGGTTGAGTAGCGTATTCTTGAGGTGACTACGAGACAACTAGACACGCACGTAAGCTCAGGAACTTTACTGCAGCCTGCATCTGTTGTGTCGACACTAAAACCTATCTTTTAAATTGAACTCAGTTTGCTGCAACATAGAAAATGGCTCACTGACTGTGAATTACTTTTAAGTCTGTTTTAAAAATCAAGGTACGGAATCAATATAGTTTTTAAGAACATAATTTCTAAACAGTTTTATGCCATTTTATTCCAAATTATATATTCCATACAATTTCTGATTCCTCGTGTTCTCATACTCTATGGAGATCTCCCTTCTGCTTAAGAAGGCCAAGAATGCAAGCATGGACAGAAATGCTGTTTTCCAGGCATCCAGAAATGCAGCCCATGCACAAGGAAGCATTTTACATTTATACTGTGGCAGTGAGGGAACACACAGAGGAGGGAAGTGATGTCAGAATTTCAACACGCTGCAGACAGAAAATTAAGAAGACTAATTCATTCAACTTCTGTGTCTATAAGCTCCATCATCTCTGTTGACATTAGGTGTGCATTTAACCTCCACAGAGTAAAGGCTTAGCTGTGTCCAGGTGCCAGTAAACTTAATTTTCAAATTGTTTTCAAGAGAAACTCACAGGTCGGTGAGCTGAGTCGCCTTGGCAACAGAGCCCAGCTCGTAAATTAAAGCAGGGCCAAGCCAGGTGCTGGAGAAACCCAAAAAGCTTTTGCCAGGTGTTGACCAGCCAAGGGGGATGTCCCTGTGAGCAACCCATTCAGAAGTGAGGAAGACTCGGATGAAGCCATGTCGGGCACAAGGTTACTTAGAAACAAGCAAATACACCTGCAGAAGCTCCAAAACGCACGTCCCAGGATTATGTTCCCATTTTACTCTGCTCATCCCATGGGAATTAACCCCCAAAGATGCTGCCTTATTAAGAGTAAGATTTTAGTGTCCATGCAATTAAATCAAACTGCACTTGTGGTCTCACTGGTTCAGCAGACAACGCAACATAAAACATATATTTAAAATAAGCATCACTCACAGCTAGTTCTAGATCTGAGAAAGGTCTTACATAAACCTGTCAAGATGGGAAATACTGGGGCAGCTTACAGGCTGCCAGCGCTGTCCTTAAGTGCTCTGGCTGGGGCTGCACAGCAAAGTTGTTGCTTTATCCACTTCTTACTTCTACCTTGCCAGCGGAGAAACTGTTGTGCCAAAGCATTTATAAACTATATTTAAGACCCTTAATTCCTCAAAAAATAAGGAGGATTAGGAGTACTGTGATAAACTATTGACAAAATACATCGCGTGGCCCAGTCTGCACAGGATGCAGTACAGACTGCAATACGTGAGTGGCTTAAAATTGCAACAGCAGCAGATATTTATTAAAAATATATATTATATGCTCTGTGGAACGCTAGTATGAATATTATACAAAAATCAATACAGCTGCCTTATGTTTTACAGCCAGCTGTGAGGCATCAGAGCCTTTTTATAGGTGATGGTTATAGGCATATTTTCATGGAGTACTACCTGCTAAAAGCATGGACAGGTGAACAAGAGGAGGAAAAACGTGTCATTTGGGTACCCTAGGAAATCTGAAGCTCTTACTCAAAGTGTCTAGATTTACAGGAGTAATTTTTAACATTCTTAGCTCACAACACATTCATTTAGAAATGAAATCTAAGATTCACAAGACATCAGTTCTATTTTCTTGAAAAAGGAAAAAAGAAAAAGAAAAATAGGAAAGGAAAAGAAACTAACCTAATATGCCTACAGTAACATTACAGTAACATTCACAAATAATTGCATCACCTTCTGATCCACAGTCTTGATTTTCCATAGAGGTTCGCAATGTCACCGTACACTATAAATTTCAATATACTATAAATATATTTCCCCCAGGCAAAACTCAAGGGCTTTACAGAGATGAAATGAATGGGTCCTGCCTTCTGTGGACGTATGTATGAGCTGTGGACGTATGTATGAGCTGCTCATGAAAGTACCAAACACTTTGATGCTACTGGAAGCTTCTGCTCTTATCATCATTGCGTTGTGGCTTGCTATTATACTAATCATTGGCTTATGTATAAGAAATATGTGAGGAAAATGCTGAGTATAAAGCACAGGAGAACAGAAACGGCACACGCAGATGCACTCATATAACCTATTTCAAGCACAACTGGGCTATGAGGAAGAGAATTTGCAGCAGCCAAACTAGAAGGCTGACTGCAGCAGAGTGTGGATGGGACCCCTGCCTGGGAGGGAGGCGTCGAGGGGAGCACCCCTGCGCTCGGGATGGCACTAGGGGGGCCACCCCCGGCTGCGGCTGCCCCATGTGCTGCCCCAGGCCAGGCGCAGAGAGGCCGGGGAGCTCGGAGCGGCACAGCCAGCCGTTCCCCCCGCACGGTGACGCTGACGCTGACGTGGCCGGCACTCCGCCTGACAGGGCTCCTGCCAGCATGGAAGCCTCCCACACTCTCATCTCTGGGGCGGCAGCAATTCCAGCATTTCAGCCCTGTGGCACATTCCTAACTCACTTGCTCCAGCCAGTCTCACGACTGAGCAGCAGAGGAAGGTAGCCACATGCTTGGTGGCTTTATGGTTGAGTCCTTAAAAACACAAAGAAACAATCTGGGTGAAATGATAGCCACTCTCTGAAAAAAATATGATTAACAACTACTCCTTAACTATCTACCTGCCTAATGCAAAGCAAATCCAGCCAACCTGTCCTGTTTTCTCCAAGTGTCATTTCAGTTGCATATTCCCTACTGCAGTCCGCACTGCAGCACTTGTTCCTGCAAAAGAAGTACATAGGTCAGATTATGCTTCTGAGAGACTGGAGCTGGGATGAAAGGAATGAAGGGTGGACTAAAATATCCAGTCACACTAACTACATTTTAAGAAGTTCCAAATACCTTTATCAGTGCTGCAAAATACTGCCCAGAAGAAGAGAACCTCTTCCTCTTATGTCTTCTAAGAGCACCAGCAAATGACTCAAAACCAGATGACATGAACATTTGCCCACTTTCCTGGTGATTTTAAGTTGATACAGACGTAACCAATTCACAAGGGACTTTCAAGCATTAGGTAATAGATACCACTTAGGGCTAACACTGCACACACTGCAAGGTGAATGCTGCGGTACTCCTCCTCCCTCCTCTCGTTTAGCAGAGTGCCACCCACCCCTAACACTTGCCTGTGAGCACCTGCAAAGGTGCTGTGTTAGGTGGGAGCACGTCATGTGCTGAGCATCACCCCCCTGCTTCTGCAGGGGGGTCTCCTCCACTCCCCCAAGAGGGAAGTTTCCAGCTTTCTTGCACCATTTAAGTGGTGTAAGCGAGCAGCACTGAGGCTTGGAATGTGAGCTGCAGAGTGCGTTTTACAACCCACAGATTTTGTGCATGGAAGCAAAAAATTGCCTGAGCTCTATGATCTAAAATAGCAAAACAGTAATCTAGACATTTACTTTTTATAGATTTTGGCATCTTTGCTAGCAGCATAAGGGTTATTTGCTTATTTTATATACAGAGGCAGGACTGAGGCAGAAGGAACAAAGTGCAATAAAAGGTGTTGGGAATATAAGAACTGAAACAGACACTTATTCAGAGCAATTCAAAGCTGTATGTAAGAAAAATAATTTTAAAAATGTATTACTGAGACAGATGCTTCTGAGACAGGAGAATAAAATAAGAAAACCTGAACATCTGGAAATTAAAAGCTGTAGTAAAAACTGCAGGATTAAATTAAATACAGATAACAGGTCTAAAATTCTAGAAGAATATATGTGAAATCAGCAAACTCATCATGAATTAGCCGGAAAAGGTGATTTTAAAGAAGATCATCCATTAAATTCATCCTTCAGTTTGCTAATCTGGCTAAAGGAGGATATGTAAGAATCTAAAAATGGAATTTTTATGTCCATTAAGTCAATAAATCCACCTACGACAAAACTATAAAGAAGCACTGGTATCCATAAAGTATAAACAGAAGTTGCCACAGGTACAAAATTTGACATAATTAATCATTCTTTTTTGAAAACCATGGGATTGGAGTGACTAGGAGTAGGTGACAAATAGGTAGCTAAGAGGTAGAATATGGTGCTCTACTGCTGCAAACAACACTTGATTCTATTTCATATTTCTATACTGTCACCAAAACACCGCAGATGATCTATAAACATTTCAAGAGCTGTGAAGAGGCTGTTCCGGCAGAGTACCTTTTTGATTCCAAGTACCATTGCAGCTCCTTTTGCTGGGCACCTCACGTAAGTCAGAAAGCTAGCAAGTTTTCAAAGCAGGGCACTGGCAAAAGCAGTTTTCAATATGCTTTTGAAAAAAGTCACTAGTATTTCTTGTAGCTCACTTTAAATTCTCAGTCGTTTCCTCTTGTTAATTTTAGTGTAGAAGATAACAAGCTAACCAGAAGAATAATGTTCAGACAAAATAAACTAGCTAAACTAGCCAGATTCAAGGCATATTTTTGTGTTATCTTCCCCCACCCAAAGCTCAGATACTATTAACGTATTTAATAATCTATTCTCCTTCATTTACAATACATGTTTTTGTGTTAACTTTCCCCCACCCAAAGCTYAGATACTATTAACGTATTTCATAACCTAGTCTTCTTCGTTTCTTCCTCTGTGTTTGAGCTCTCAGTACCTGCACGACRTTGCTGCCTGCAAAGCTGGCTCGCCTCCAGATGCGCCCGCGGGCCAAAGCCTCGTTCAACACGTGGGCCAGTTTCCGCTCCATCTCCGCCTGAAACACTTCCTCCTGAATCCGCTGCTCCGCGACGCCCAGGAGAACTACGTTGCAGAGAAAGGAGACCAAGAACACAGCTGAATTAGTAAGGTACTTCAGGTTCTTGTCTGCAAAGTATAAGCTTTGAGTCACCTGTGGTGTCTTATGGACAGTTCAAGGGTAGCAGTGGTCATATGGGAATTGTGCCATGGTCAGCCAGAGCTTACACGCAGGAACGTATAAGGCTTTGGATGGGAAAAGAATAAAAGAAACATAAAAAAAAAAAAAAAAAAAAAAAAAAAAAAAAAAAAAAAAAAAAAAAAAAAAAAAANAGAGAGAGAGAGAAAGAAAAAGGAGGGCATTTCTGGAATATCATCCAGTCTAGAAAGACCCAGAATGATGAAGCAACAATTTAAAAACAAAACAAAACATACAAACAAAAAGAATGTTTAATAAATTACGCATAAACAACCAAACAGGAAAATTCAGGCTAAACAATCTCCTTGCAGCTACTTGCAGTCATAGTTTTATGTTTAGAAATCAGAGTTAGAGATGGGCAGGTCAAGGGCTCAGAAAACAAATATGGGAGGAAAGCAGTAGCACCACGTGGAGAAACCAAATGGAGCCATGCAGCCTCGGTGAATCTTGCCTAGGTAAGGTAAAGATTAACAGTATGCCAACCGTGGCACAAAAAATGTGGTTCTTTCCCCTGCCACCTTCACTCCCCAGCCTAGGCACCAGCGGCTGGAGCAGCTATTGGTGACTGCAATCCCTCAGGAATACCACAGAGGAAGCAGCAAAAGATTAACAGGCTTTTACTAAGAGCATGGGCAGCCAGTAAAGTAAATGGGGGCTGAAGGGTCAGTCATTCACTCTGTCTAATTAAACAACCTGAAAGGACAGGAAACCAACTCACCAGTGACTGCAATAAAATAACCCAGCTTTTATTCCTTAAGATCACTGCTTTTTTAAAAAAATTAAAAAAACACTGGACATATCAGGAAAAAAAGGAAACACTTCCATAATTTCACACTGAAATCAACAGCCTCTCTACTACTTTCAATCACAGAATAAGTATTGYAGAGCTAAATACCAAATAAACAGACAGTGACCTAGGGCTATTATATACAACAAATTGAAGACCATTCTTGCCTGCATATTGAATTTCAATAYCAGGGAATTATGCTTAATAGCACAAGCTGTATTCTGCAAGTAAAAGGAATATCCACAGAGAATGCTGCATGTCCCACTGTTTTGTGACTGTCATCGTACTTTAGAATATGCATTGACTTATACCTTGGTAGTTTGATGTTAAAAACCTCATCTTAGCAYGCATTAATCCTATTTGCCTATATCACGAGTCATGTCACCTGCCTAAAAACAGCTACAAAATAATGAAAATAGGTTACTAACACACAGTGATTTTGCCCTTAAAATACAAATATGCAGTTTTTAAGGACTGACCAAGCCCAAATGTACTCTCTCTTCTCAGGCTGCCTGTAAGAACTGGGGTACAAAAGATTTGTTTGCTGCTAAGAAAAAGGAAGCTGCTGCAACTGATTTTTTTAAAAAAAAACATGCCCAGGAGGCTTAGAAAATACAAAAGGGCATGATTTCTGAGCTGGAAGAACTTTTTTTTAATGCAGAATCTAAGAGAACTTCCAGCAAGAATGGATAAAGCAAATCTGAGTGTGAAAAGGGGAGAGAATAGTGTGGTACTCAACAAAACTGACCAAAAAAACTAACACAAAACTCAAAGCGGAGGTGGGATAAATGCATGCAAATCTGCTCCACTTCTTGAACATCACCTGAAATTGTTTATTTTTCTCGAAAAAAAGCCCCATGTAATTCAGAAGATAAGTAGTCCCTTGCTTAACAAGTAAACTAGTCCACTAGTGGGAGGAGAAAAGGATATCTAGAAGAAAAAAAATAGCATGTACATATTCACACACTATTGAATTCAGGGTGGGAAAGCTGGTGGGGAAGACAAAAATCTGTACAGGTGGGCATCTACACCTTAACAGTAAGGCTGCTGGGCACAGCCTGGTCACTATTCAGACCTTCTGGGCTTGAGAAACAGGTAGATGCTACTGCTCCCAGGCAAACACAAGAGCCTTTGAGCTCAGTGACAGCTCAACTAGATCTGTGAATTACAGAGTAAAATATCCAGCAGACTGTGTGGGAGTGATCTGCCACAAATGAATCACAAGAGATCAATGAAATGTGATGAAACTGTCTCATTTACTTTGAGTGCAACTATTTTTAGTCTGTTGTATTCCTGGCATGTTCTAGTACAAAGTGCCACATATAAAGTTTTAATTTTCACTTAAAATGAAAAATCCTTTAAAAAAAAAAGTGTGATATTGACAGTACAAGTCTCCTTATGCCTGAGAATGTAACTTGTCTCACTAAGAATGAACTGTTTCATAGACAAAAAGCCATTGTGTGTCCATTAACAAGCAACTGCAGTAGTTCATTCCAGACCTAGGAATTATATTTCCCAGATGTTCCAGGTCATTAGGCCATGGGTTTTAGAATTTATACTGCTCAGGCACATTACTACCTTGTAAACATGCAGCACCCCTAAGCTATCAACACTCATCGCAGCTATTTTCCCCCTTATCAAAATAATTACCCTCCTATTTACTCACGTGGACTATACGTACCTGTTCTCACCCAGGAAGATTTCATCAGCTGCGACACATTAAGCTTCGGATAATGAAAGGCTGGGGGAAAAAGAGAAGGGAGGAAAAACATCTGTAAGAACAGTATTCTCAACAATAGACATACACACAAAAAAAGAAGCCACTTCATAATAGATATTGTCAGTAAGCACCTGATTTACGCCGATTCATTACAGCTCCTGAGGCTGCAAGGAGAGTGCTCTGAACACACACTCCATGCTTCACCTCTGAACACGAAGTGGCTGAGTGAAGCAGATGTATTACCTAAAAGATTTCAAGCCCCTRCGCTGAGGTCATTGCTCCTAGAAATGTAAAAGCAAAGCTCACTGACCATGTTCTCCTCCTTACTGAGCTAAATGCAGCATGAGACTTTTGCTCAAAGGGTGATAGGGCAATTCATGAGTGCCTGAGAATGGGAATACAACCTTCTCGGAAGCAGAAAGTGCTGTGAAATACTAAGTGTGAGGCAGAAAACTAACCAGATCTCATTTGTGTTGTGGGCAGGTGTGCGGGAAGTATTATTTGAAAAACATCGCCTTCCTAATTACTTTATAAAACACACAAAATGAATGTGTACAAGAACATTTTTGTGGACAAAATTCTTGTGGCTTGTTTGGTCTGTGGCCCTATATTTTCTTTAGTTCACAATTCTCCCCAAAAGCTGTGCTGAAGAGTGAAATTCTTGCCCCAGTGAAGTGAATACAGCCAGTTTCTACTGATACTCCAGGAATAAATTTTTTCCCAAGGTTTCCACTGGAGTGCAGTAAAGACGTGTTGGGAAGCAAGCGCAGATGGGGGCTGGGCCAACAGTTTCCTCAAGGGACGTCTGGAGCTTCGGAATAACAGAAGTATAATAGAAAGAAAAAGGAAGGGTCACAACGTTCTCAAAATATTTGATAATCCAGCTGCAGTTTGCTCAGCATTTTACAAAGGTTAATTTTTAAATCATTTTACGAACAGAAGGAAGGAGGCACACGATTAGAATGACTAGGTCCCTGACAGATTAGTATTTAGAATGAGGATATCGTGTTTTCAGTTCTAGAACTGAACTAGAAGTTATAGCACTATTACTTGCTTCTGAGAAAAAGAATATTATTAGTTTTTTAATTCAATTACTACATAATTTGTGGAGTAGCTGACCTCTCCGCATGTACCCACCCAAGCGTTTTCTAAAATCCAATCTTTTGCCCCTTAAAAACTTTCCGATTTTTTGTTATTGCAAGAGTAAAAGAATCACTAGTATCATACTTTTTATTTTTATAGGCTCATAAGTAGTCCTATGAAAATAAAATACGACATTTTCTGAAGTCCTGTTCTGCCTTTATTTCAATAATAGAAGCACTAGTTTTCAGAGTACCCTTGCGAGACTTAATCTTAATTAAGTGTGACTTAATCTTCAGAACAGTATCAGACTGTGGGCCTTTATTCTAACTTGGAGACATCTGTACTTTGACCAGGATGCATTGAATTTCCAAAGACTAAGGGAAGAAAAAAAAAAAGAAAGAAAAAAGCAGTCCACAGTCCACTTATTTTAACCCATTTATTTTTGGCATGCTGCTGCATGGTTCTTCTGAGTGTAGCTTAAAAATCTGGAGGGTGTTTGSTCTCCTCATGCCTGTGTTTACTTCAAATTAAAGATACAATTTGAACAACAAAAGCATAAACTAAACTGCATCTATAGTTTCCAAAGCTTGGGAAGAGGAAGATAAGAAAATCAAAGACTTTCCAATGGCAGTAAAACTTTGAACTTGTTGTGGGTTGTGGGTTTTTTTTCATTTGAACCAAAATAATGTTTTGCTTTGACTTAATGTGCTCTTCATGCTTTCTCTAATTAGTACTTGAAAATGATTTAATTCATGCAAATTGCTAGATGACTAGTCACTTAAACTTTAGATGGAATTAATGAAAGTTAAAAATAACAAGTCTCAAGCAGAAAAATCTTAAAAATGAACAGGAGAAAATGCTCTGATCACTGGCATCTGAGCGTGGGTTCTAAAACCTGACAAAGGGATCATGAAATGAAGGACACTTCGGAAATATAGGCAGTGGCAGCAAGTCAGGAACCCCAAATCTCTCCCCACGGGTCACTCAGTGTMACAGCAAGGCTCGTGTGGCCAGAGCCTGAGCTCAGCTGGAGCTTCAGCACAATGAGACCAGTTTATTTGCCAGATCCTTAATGTCCCCTAAGATATGAAGATTAAAGACAGCACAGACTGAATGCTATTCTGCGGGGAGGATTGGATAGACAAAGCGCAATTGCAAGATAGATTGTGGCTGATCTGCTAATGACTCTGGATGCATTAATAAGGAGCACATGGTCATCATTAGGGGATCCTAACATACACTCCTGAAGTGCCGCACCGCGGAACGGCGCTGACTCAGCACTCGGGGAAATGGCAAAGGGCCACCCAGGGACCCAGCTACCTCTTTCGAGAGCGCAGTGCTCAGGCAAACTGAGCTCTGGCAATGAGGACATGGGTGGCCTCTTACATGAAGCCATGTGGGATCATGCAAAACAGAGCTGGGACCACGCCAGTCACTCTTATTTACAGCACAGGGAGGAACTATAACAGAAAGCATGGAGTAAATGTACATTTTTGAGTGATCAGAACATCACTTAAAAATAAGAACCCATGGAAATAAAAACAATAAAAATAGTAAAAAAATAAGAGTCCATGGGTTGTGGCTAACACTAAAACAATTTATCCACTGTGATCCAAACCCCACTCCAATAAAYACTGCCTATAATTCCTGCAATCTTTGTACCATACTATACGATTTTATATTAACCTACTGACCTTGCAACATCGCCAAGGTTTCCACAAGAGATGCTAATCTTACAGCACTGGAAAAAACAGYATGTCCCAAGGCAGCTCTCTCTACTTTAAGCCATAACAAAAACAAAGACTTATCACAGGTAAGGTCACAAAGGCCAACATCCCYCCATCTAGTCCACGGCTCGCTTTTGGCTGGTCTCAGAGACATCTTCCAGCCATGAAGGCATACTCAATATATTCCTTCCTATCCTTTCCAATGAACTAGTGCCCGGTGCTTAGACTGGGGCTTCTTTTTCCTGACCATCTAAGCGAATGAGCTACCAACCTAAAATGTGAGACAGAAAGTGGACAGGGCAAAATTAGTGGACAGGAAGATGTGAGGTGAGCCTGTTGGTATAGGTGTGTTGCTGAAGTTATAGTTACCAGAAGTTTCTGAAGAAAAAAAAAGAGAAAAAAAATACACCTTCCCTGCCTCCAAGGGAGCCTCCAAGTCGTTCCCTCACACAACATACAAACCTGAAGTYCGGAAGCTTTCTTGCTTTAGATCTGTCCTGAATCCATCCTGTCAAATTGATAATCTTTACTATTGTCTTTGTTCTAAATGAATGCATCCTGTCAAACTGATAATCTTTACTATTACCCTTGTTCTAAATGACTGGGAAGAAACTGACTGAGATAATTACATTACATTAATTATATTAATACTTAATGTTGTACTGCACATGGACAACCTACCCCATTCAAGGTATAAGCAGCACATCCAAATGAGGTGAAAACCTAATGTGTGAAAGGCCACGTGAACAAAAACTAGGCAGCAAACACAGACAAGGCTCCTAGGCAGGATATCAAAGGCCAGTTTCACTTCACTTAGCCCAGCAATGCTAAGCTACAGCAGCATTACGTGTAAAGTAGCTTTGCCTTAACAGGAATCAACGTGAAACCCCTGACAGCTCAGCTCACAAATCAGTTCTTTTCCTTAAGATGCAGACTGTGATAAAACTCAAGAAAGCCTCAAAAAACTAGGTTACCACCAAGAGCATTAAGTGCTGCCGGGCCTAATAACTAAGGAGCAAATAGCATAAGACAGTACAGGAAAACATTTTAAATWTACATGCCCACATACTTCCAAAATTCCTGAAAATTTTCATGTCAAAGGGTGGTACAAAATTTGCACAGAACAAAGGAGCCACCTGGCAAAAAAAGATCTTCAGAAGAACTCCCCCAGTGTATGACTGCTCTGTCATATAGTGCTCTCCTATATGCTCATGGGAGGGTGAGAAAGAAGTCCAGAGCCGAGGGAGCCCTCAACTTTTGTATTTAAGTATCTCATAGCCAAAGCACTTTGGGGGATCTGGCTCTCGGCCATCCTCAACAGACCACTGAGCAGGACGTCCTGAGAGGGATCTGCCCTGTGCTGTTGAGGCTTTGGGCATGACTGCTGGCTCTGGATCAAAACTGTTTCTCAGAAACAGTGGGAAAAAACACCTGAAGCAACAACTGAAAATAATGGCAATAGCAGCCCTGCTTTATAAAAAGGTATGAACTGCATTCATGCTTGCRGACAGACAGACCCACAGCTCTGAGCAAGCTGAGAACCGTGGTCTCACTTTGCTGACCCATCAAATGGCACCGTGGCTGCTGCTCCAGAACGGTCCACAGGAACCCCCTGAAGCACTGCGGGGAGGGCAGCAGCAAAGCCCGAGTCAAAATGAGCTGTCGTGCTCTTAGCACGACACACAAATGGATCCCACTGCAAACGGATTGCTCAAAGAATATGCAAGTCATATTCTTGCATATTCATATTCAATTCATTCACGCTGACGAGACACTCCTAGAGTTGGGGCACCGTATCTCCCAAATCCTCACTGGGACTTTAGGAAAATCTTAKCTTTCCTTAAAAAAAAAATCAGTGTATTTACTCGTCTCGATAAATCAAAATGTCATTTACTTCACTTTAATCTACTGAATGGGTCTTTAATCTACTGCAGGGTGACAGAGCCCTGGCACAGGCTGCCCAGGGAGCTTGTGGAGTCTCCTTCTTCGGAGACCTTTAAAACCCACCTGGATGCCGCCCTGTGCCCTGTGCTCTGGGTGACCCTGTGTGAGCAGGGGGGTTGGACTAGACGACCTCTGAGGTCCCTTCCAACCTTAAGCATTCTGTGATTCTATGAATGTATTTCATTTTATTTCAGCTTTACTGATCTGTATTGTGTGTACTGTACACAAACTTTTGTACACAAAAGAAGGCTTTACAAAATTCCACCATTAAAAGAGACACACGACTGAGCAAAGACACCACCACCATCAAATTCTGACCAATATGTTGGAGGCACATGCTGCGCTGTGGTGGCAGTATTCAATAGATAGGCCAGGGTGATTTCTCCTTGTGCTTGAAATGCAAGGGTGCACAGTTATAGATCGCTTGGCTGGTTGATAGATTGGTTGCCATCATCCTTCCTAATGGACATGTAGACTAATCTAAAACAACAGCATTTATCAAAAGCTCCAGAAATGAGTCTAAGAGAAAACATTTGTCATAAAGGACTTAATCACCGTTGATGAGTAAATCTGCCTTCCTACATTAAGGATTTGTTTGAGGATTTCAGCTTTGGAGGTGTTTGGGAGATTTGCTGGCAGATTGAAGGGAATGGAGAATAATTTAGCTTTTGAYGATAAGCACAATAGAGATGTCTAGGCTGGAATTTGCAGAAACAAAGTTAAAGAAATACCTCATCCACATGCTTGGATATGCTGTGGTACATATGCAGAGAAGCTCAATTTGCCAGGGAGTGGCAACCAACTTTTATATGAGCTTTTTGCAAATCCCCACAGCAGTCAAGCACAAGCAGAAATTCTAAGGGACTATTTTCTGTGGGTGCTGTTTGACCTTGTCAGTCATCAACTCATGAGCTACCGTAGAGCCCTCCTGGCATCAGCCAGGACTCGGCCCCTGGCTGGGAGCTATGGGCATGCACGTCACCCAGGCAGCTCCTGCCTCGAGAGCAGCTAAAAAAAAGGAAAAAAAAGTTACCTCTAAATTTCTGAAGAATCACTAGAAAAGAATAAAAGGAGAAGAGTGCAAATGCATGCTTAGTAGTAATGTTTTTCCCTACTGTTAGTCTGCTTTTTAGGATATATAGGCCCTGGTTGAAATTCTGTTCTCATTTAACTACACTTTAGCAACCTTGCAARTCTAGAAGAGGGATTCTCAGCAAGGAAGATTCTGCAAATTCACTATAAAACACATCCTAGAATATGTGGACAAACTTAAAAACTACAGGAACAAATGTATGTAAAGTTCAGAAAAGAAAAAGAGACTAAAAGTTCAGAAAAGAAAAAGAGACTAAAATAATACCCAAGCAAGAAAAAAAATAAGCTTTAGTCAAATGAGCAAAAGCTACCATGCAGAACAAAGACAAATAATTTTCAAGCAGTCCAGGCAACAGCAATATTTAATTTCAATTCAGTGAGAGAAAAAGATCACAACCCACAATTTGATAAACTCTGAGGCCTCCCAGGGAATAAAAGACACRTTGGTCATTTGTGGACAAGGGTTCTGATTTTTCTCTGGAAAATGAAAATATGCCAAGAATTTTGGTCCTAGCTCAATTAACACAGCTGTCACTACACAGGTATAGTTTATGTGAGACCAAATGAGAGCTCAATGCAATACTCTGACACACTCTTCAGTGTATCGTGGGGGCAGAGGGATCAAAATCCCTAAAAGGGAAAAGAAAAAAAAAAGCTAAAAAAAAAAAGTTTTATTGTGTCATCATTTTACAAGATATAAAGATACTATAGAAAACAATTGCTTTTGTAGCAAGTGCTCTGYTTATCATGGCTTCATTGACATACCAGAAAATGCTATTAGGTCTGAATTCCCACTAGATACTTGATTAYGTAGAGAAAATCACTGTGTCAGGCCCTCAAAAAATAACTCCGATAATTTAAAATCTGCATTGGAATGCACAATGAGGAAAGGTAAACTGGGAACGTGTGGACTCAATTGCATTAATGCCTGCCACCAGGAAAGGCAGTGCTGTAACACCACAATCCTGCTGATGTTCAGTAGTTACTTTCGTCAAGCAATAGTCTCTCAGTGTGCAAGGATAAGTCTTGAGCTTAGAAATTCAGCTTATTTCTGAGATAGAGATCACCTGAAACATCTAACCAAACGTAAGTCATAAAAAGTGAGTGTCAGGCAAACTCTGCTCTGTACCCATTCCCCATTTATATAAGTTTAGGATGGCCATGGAAAAAGTGCCATGCAATGAAAGTAGTCCATAAGGACAGCAACGTGCTGGGGACATCGTAAAAGACAACAGGCTACTTTAAAAAGCACGGCTACTGTCAGGTAACAAAGACTGTATGAAAACAWATTAGTCAAGCTTAAGTTGTCAGTGTCACACAGGGCTTACTAGAAGTCACAGAGCCACAGCTAAGCATKGCACAGACCCCAAGGCAGTAAATCATGCTGAGAAGCAGAAAATGCCCCTGCAGACAAATCCAAGGACCAAACTTCACAGGAATAATGACTGGAGCAACCTTTTATTTTTCTTTTTTATCTAAAGCAAGACCAGAGAAAACGAAGCCAGATTAGGCCTCCTTTGACYGGTGCAGAAAGAAACGATGCTGGCAAAAGCAGTAAGTTACTGTAACGCTGGTACAGGACATGTGAACAAAGAGAGGTATAGATTTGCTCTGCAAACTGCCTGACACTTACGTACCCGTAACTTCTGTGCAAAATGTCTTCAAAATTATACAGAGAGAAAAAAAAGACAGTAAAAATAGCATTTTTCAGTAAAAATAGCATTTTTCAGCCTTGATAGCAGCAAGTACTCACGTTCRGCAATTTGTTGCACAGGAAAGCCCAGATAGAAGCTGAATTCCACCACAGACAAGTTTCTGAGCTGCTCACTGACGTCGGACCCATTTAGAAAACCGTATTTATCTYGGATGGCAAAAACAATGCTCACAGGGCCCTGCCGAAACGCTGCCCCAGCCCTGCTCACAGTTATATTCAGTATCTGAAAAACAGATTGGAGCAAGGTGAGAAAAATCAAATCACTGCCATTTCTATTTCCATTCCTTCCTTCATAGAAAATTTCTTCCTAATGTGAACTGGGACTTTACATCAGAACAGAGGAACATCAGTTAACTCTAGATTAACTCAGCCTGCTAAGTCGTAACAAGATCTGATAGAAATGATTTTAAAAAGGGCTGGGCAGCCCTTAGGCAAAGAAGTATGACTACGTTTATATTCCTATTGTATTCATGACTGATCTTTGATACAAATCTTCATCTTCTTGGATCATCTTCTCAGAAAGCTTGAACCCAGAGGGATGCATGCTGCCAAACTGTCCCACTTTACGACAAAGCACCGGAGTTCTGCATGTTCTGGAAAGAAGGGATAGCAGTGCACACCTAACTCAGTGTTACTGGCTGGATGAAACACAAGACAACCTAAGGCAACGAGATACAAAATGAACGTCATCATGAATATGCTCACCTGCACAGTGAAGTTGTAGAAGTCCTGGTGATGTTTGCTCACCTCCATGAATGCCATGGTCAGCCCCTTCTCAATGCGCTGGCTGAAGTTGCAGAAGCCAACGTCCACATTCCGAGGCACAAACTGAAGCACTGAAAGCAAAGGGGATATGTTAATTCCTAGAGACAAACACTCCCCTGAGAGGAAAAGAGAATCCTCATTCCACAGGTCTGTCCCTGACTACAGTAATTCATCTAAAAGACCTTTGCTACAGACAATCTGGCTAGTTTTACAGGACTTGAACACTGGCATGCTGAAATCCTCAGTACCCAACAGTTTGATGAAAATCTGGAAAATAATAAAATTGTGCAGAGACTGATATTTAATACTTAATGCACATATTTACTCCATTAACATCAGGAAATGTATCTGCTGTCTATCTCTAACCATGAGCAGTGAGAAAGACATCACATGAGCACAGTGAAATTCACTCTTACAGTACAGATGTTAACAGAGCAGAAACAACACAGGAGGCATACATAAATAAAGGCACCTACACTGGAAACTCATGCAGTCCCTGCTCATGTATTCCCATTTACTCAATCCCTGTCATACCTGACTACTCAAAGTCATGCAGACAGCTTACTGTTTTTGTCATGTAAATCCTGTCTGAAAAGAAAGTTTCAAATGGTACCACTGTCTTTCAAAATTATTTCATGGTTAATATCTTACTTCAGGTTTTCAGTAGTCATGGACTTTACACTAACTACTGCCATAAAGGAGCCATGGGAAGCTGAATCCAACATTAGCAATCCTCCAGCTCACTAATCCTCCCACATCTGAAGAATTTGGAGAACTAAAATTTAAGCTAAAGATAATTCAGACTTGAATCACACATTAAAAAGTGGCTGCATTGTAATTTTATGACAAAATGCTTCACACACAAACCTTTTTCTCCTTACCTTTTCCAAAATACTGCAAAAGAAGGGCAGAACAGGGGATTGACCAGCAAGGAGCAAGTTAAAAATAAGCACATTTTACAGCAAAAGAGCAGGACTACCACTTAAAAGTAGGAGAAGGAATGTGAACTCCCTTCACTCAGTCCATTTGTGAACTATCAATTACAAAAAGCAAGAAAAAAAGAACATTTCTCCAGGAAAAAATCCTGGAACTAGTGAAAGTACAGAGCTGGCTGCTTAGAATGCATTACCTTTCTCTATCACAGATACTAGAAGCGTTTTATTAATAGGCACAAATGAAGACTCACAGCAGAAGAAGGGAAGGTTTCTGGCTCGAGTTTGCCTACTCATTAATCACAAGACTATCCACACGTAAAGAAGCGCGAGCAGCAGAAAGTTGCCTCTCCTCCTCTTTCAGTTAGGAACAACTCACCTGTCTGCACTTGGAATCTGTTATCCGGCACAGGGAAAGAGGGGTGCAGGGAGAGGATCAGGGGGGCCTGACCACGAAGAAGGCTGCTGTTCATCAGCACGTTTATGACAGCCACTGCCGTGTAAACGAAAGGACCTGAYGTCACCAAGAAAGCAAATTTGGGGGATATTTTGTAAACCTGCAAAAAAAAGGAAAAAAAAAATCTTCAACATGAAATCTGGCAGGCAGACTTTAGACCTACAGATGCCACTCATTTCAAAGCCTCATCCTCAAGAGGAAGCAAGATRGAAAAATGTAAACTTTATTTTATTTGTATTTATTTTTTAGCAGAAGCAAAATGTTTAAAAAATAATAGTAATAAAAAGGAAAGAAAAAAAAAAAAGGAAAAGTAGCGTGTCTGGTAGCATCTACTCCRGCGTGTCAGGGTGGTATCTTCCATGTGCAAAGCCTACCTACCTACCTACCAAAATCTCTCCAATATGACACATGGATCTCAACACACTATGACTTAACATATGGTAGCCTAGAAGGAGCACCACTCCAACCAGTCTATATTCTTCTAGCTGCAGGAAAGATCCTACATAAAGTGATGGCTACTCCCTGAATCACCTCCACAGCTTATGCATAGCACATATATCCCATAATATGCACCTGTGACATGCAAGAAGCACCATACACGCAGCTTGTGTTTTATGGGTATAGTTTTTACACAGAAGCAGACTTTTTCTTCCAGAGAACTCTCCTCCCCATTTGCTTATTACAGCACAGTTACTGCAATTACTATTTTCTTCTTCTAACTCACCTATCTCCTGACTCTGAGCAATCCCAACTATCCTGAAGAGCTTTAGTCATTGTGTAAAAGAAATGAAGTTGAAAGTTAAATATAAAGCTAGGTTTCATCATGACACTTTTACTGGCCATTATTCTATCACCTAAATAAAAACAAAGTGAAGGCTTTTATTTATTTACACACATTGCTGTGTCTTCTCTCCCTAAAAGAGAGATCTCTCGGTATCTCTCTTGAAATGAAATAATGACCTGATCTCTCGGTATCAGCTCTTTCCTCACCCTTCCTTTTTTTTTTTTTTTTTTTTTTGCTAACTCTCCTAGTTTGCTCTGTCTGTCTGAGCAAACTGCAATATTTGGGGAAGTCCAACGTGGCAACCTCACAAACACTCCCATCTAGACCAGAATCATCTGCATCTCTTAGATGAAAACACATCTGCACCTTGGAAGCTTTGCTGTGGTGAGGGGATATGTTACATATGCTCCACTTCAGGATCTGCTTTAGGGAAACACAYGGGGCCACCTAAATCATGACCCACATGTTCCTTCCAGGGTAGTGTAAAATACTGGCAATTGCTGTTTAGATGAGCTAGCAGGCAGGTCTTTCCTCTCCTCTAAAAATCACGATGCAATTTTTAAAAGAACATCTTCACTGAAAGAAAACAAGTAGCCAAAAAAAAAAAAAAAAACCTTTCCTCATTTCTCATTACATCCACAAAATCATGCAGCATCCAGCCTGTAACACTCAAAATTCGTTTCATATGAATAATATGCACAGCCCRTTTCAGTTCCTCTTTCCTGAAATTTTATCCTTTTATCTGAGGATGAAAAGATTTCTGTAGCATCAGTTTGTCAAATGGCAGTATCATACAACAGGTAAGACATGCCAAAGGAATGATGTCCATTACCTGCAAAAGAGACTGCTTTGAAAGGCAAGAAAAAAAATAGAATTACAAATCTCAGCAACGATTTGCTGGTGCTTTCAGAAACAATAAAGGCAGAGGAAGAGAGTCCCAGTGCAGCCAGTAAATATTCACGTACTTCAGCTTGGCATTTCAAACAAGTCAGCAAGCCTCTGCTAAGGAACAGAATCACAGTATCACAGAATGGCTGAGGTTGGAAGGCACCTCTAGAGATCCTCTAGTCCAACCCCTGCTCCAGCACGGACACCCAGAGCACGGGGCACAGGGTGGCATCCAGGCGGGTTTGGAAGATCTCCAGAGCAGGAGACTCCACAGCCTCCCTGGGAAGCCTGACCTGGGATTCTGTCACCCTCACAGGAAAGAAGTTCTTCCTCACATGCAGATGGAACTGCCTGTGTTGCAACCTAGTCCCACTGTCCCTTGTCCWGTCACTGGCCACCCCTGAGAAGAGCTTGGCTCCTTCCTCCCTACATTCTCCCCTCAGGCATTTGTACACGTTGATCAGATCCCCTCTCTACCTCCTCTTCTCCAGGCTAAACAGGCCCAGCTCACCTACTCTTTCCTCATACGAGAGATGGTCCAGTTCCTTAATCATMTTGGTTGCTCTAACTCCGCTGCCGGCATCTCCRACCTATACTCATTGCACCACAGATGCAATGACTGCAGTCTGCCCCAAACACTTCCCTGAAACTTTCCATTGGCTTTTTAGTCTCAACAGTAAATATTCAGGTCTCTCCTTCTCAACTCACTTTAGCAGATAGGGGATAGTATCTCCAGGAGAACAGATATTTTGAATATTTTAAGTGTGAGAAAAGATTAGTGTATTGCAATCACTATAGGCTCAAAGTAATAGCTATATCTGATTGAGAAAAGGGCTGCAGGGCTGTCTAGAGGGAGCTCTGAACAACCTAATTCTGACGCCAGAAATAATACAGCCATGCTGCCATGCTGCTCTCTACACATTAATTCACCCAGATACGTGGAAAGCTATCCAGAACAGGCAAGAACCGCTCCTGACTCCAGAGGCATCAATGAGAACAGCTCCTCCTCGCACCGTTCTTGTGGTTCACAAACCCAGCTGTCCATCCAGCCCTCTCTTGGAGGTCTCACGTCTACTATGGGTAGATGCTGGCAAACTACTGAGCCACCTACTACAGAAAACAGAGAGAAATAAATTTCTTATCTTAATGCCTGGGGCTATAAAGCTGCAGGAGTGTTCAAACGCCCCATGTACGCTGAGCCATTTCCACAGCACAAGCAGAAACCCAGTGGAGGGCCAGGAGGAAATAACTAACCTGACTGTGCTGCTTCCTGGGCACAATCTGTCACATTCACAGCTACCTTGGCCCTGACAGAGGCACTTTCTGGAACAGAAAGTTTTTGGGAYAAAATTTTCTAGAGGCTAGAAGAGCACTTGGGGAAAGCATCCCTATAGGCTTAGCCTGTCCCCTATGCTTTTCGTTATGCATTTGTATTTCATCATTGTCAGACGAAATATACTCTATTTGAGTTACCTTTATGATCCCATACTGCTGCTTTTATTTCTACAGACCACTGTATTACGCTGCGTAGTCACCTGGCAGAAAGCATAAATAATGGATTTTCTTTCCCATACCTTACTAAGAATACTGTAAAGAAATCACAGAGAGCATTTAATTTCCTAAAGACGTCCGACTGAGGTTGAGCCGTCTTAGAACAAACATTTTGCTTCTATACACATTAGGACCACAAGAGAACCTTACCACACCATTTTACACACCTAAGTCTTACTGTTGTCAGTGCGAGCATACATGGTAGCTTCCTTGCAAGAAGTATTTTACTGCCTGACTTACTTTAGTAACCTTAACTTGCCTTACTTTTAAGGCAGATGTTTACAATCTTTGGATTTGTAACTAGGCTAAATAGGCTAAAGACAGGCCTAAAAGCCATAATTACACATATCAGTGAAGTGTATACTTCTGAGTGTATACACTAAGGTATAAATTACACTTTGAAACAAAATTTCCAAATTGCAAATGCATTTTTTTTCCTGTTGGCATGAACTCCCCGGCATCAGGGGTGCTCCTGCCAGCAGAGCACTGCCACACTCTTCCTTTCTCACACCCCARTGTGACAAGCTTAAGCCAACAGGGCTTTGTATAACACATCTGACTCAAGTGTCATAAGGTTTGCACTGTGGAAGGTTGACAAAACTGTCACATGTTCAAACAGGCCTTTTTCTTCTGCAGATGCAATGCAGGGAGACCAACTGGAAAGAGAACACTTCAATTTTAGGTCATTCTCGGTTTGCTGTAAGGCATTTTGCTAGAAAAAAAAAATGACAAAAGATTTTTATTAAGCTGGATTCAAGCCTGTCTCTCTATTTTTTTTTTTTTTCGTTAATGTTCGAAATAGTGAAGAATCAAAAATCCAAGCTGCAACTGAAAAAGCTGTGGGGAGGGAACAGAACTTCTTAAATTCCTCTTTCAATGTAAAACTAGGCCTGTGTTTAAAAGGCTTAATAGTTACATCCTCGCTTGTCCTGGATTACATTTTCAAAGTCTACATTGTTACCAAGTCAAATTTAACAGGACTGTCTCCTGATTCACTGTGTATTACATCCCCACCAGGAAACATCATGTGTGAGTTGTAACAGAAGGCAGTAAAAAAGTAGCTTACAGTGCACTGCTTCCCCACAACCCATGCTGTTCCGTCCTCAGGTACAATGTATTCTTGACTAACAAAAGTCAGGCCAGTCTACTTAAGCTTAGCAATACAGAAGAGTTCTTTTTAAAAACTTGTGTTATCTCACCATTAAACATGCCAATATTAGAGACAGTTCTTTATTTAAAATACATTTTGCTAGCACCTCACTGTTAGAGATGAAGTAATTTTTAGTGAAAAAAAAGGCATAATAATGGCAACATGAGCAGAGGACATATATGATAGTAGTATTCTTAGTAGTATTCTACCATTAAAGAAGCAAAACTGTTTCTATAGAGATGTTTCTCCTTTTGATAAAAAAAAAGGAGAATTTGCAAAGAATGTACCTGGACTCAGCATTATTCATAAAAGTGGTTGCCTTTGAGCAGCCTTAAGGCCAGTATATCCCATCAGGAGCTTTGCAAGGCAAGAGTGGACATGAAAGGAAGGAATTCAGAGTGAAAAATACATAAAGATATCAAATGTTAGCTCCATTCAATCTTAATTCAATAGCATAGCAATCTGTTTCGTCTTTTTGCTGATACTATGAAGACAATAAGCACTTCCATATTACCGATGGAATATATTTTATAAGGCAGCTGATAACCAGTGCAGTTGCATCATCAATTTGCTGCATCATCAATTTGCTGCATCATCAGTCTGCACAATCTGAAGATTTGTTTTCTAATCTCCCCAAATAATACCTGCTTATAGGCAGGTATTGATAAAGCGACTTGAAGTAAACACAAGCTACAGTGGCAGCTCATAAAACCACACAGCACAGAAGGGGAGCAGTAAGAGTAATGGGGGTTTGCAGTAACTGACTACAGACTGTTGAGTAGCGAAGAATTTCTATGCAATTCTGTTCTTTTCCACTAATATTGGACTACAGAAGCTTCTCAGTTACTTTTGTCAAAAGTGAGTAAAAGGCTACTTCTCTTTTTACCTTGTTTGCCTTTCTGATTCATTGGAARAAAGGATTTATCCTAAAATGTATTTATATATAAAAGACTAAAAACCAACACCAAAATGTGAGTCTTTGAACTATCCACTATTTTGCAGAGGAGGGAGCCACAGGAGGAGTGCAGCAAGAGCGCAGCTGGCCAGCCAGGCCCATGAGGAGCAGCAGTCTGACACTACCAACCAAGCCTGCCCAGTGTGAGCAGCAACCGCAACCCAGGGCCGCAGGGCCAAATCGCTGCTGCTCGAGGGAAAAGCCTGGCCCAGGTTCGTAAWTCTCTCACCCTGACTGACTAGTGTGGAGGGACCTTCTAAAACAAGAGCAGCCGCCCTATGTGAAGACACGAGTTCAGTTATTACTTGCAGTGACCGGTGCTGCCCAGAGGCTGCTGTACAGCACAGACGGGCACGAGGACGGCCCCAGCACTCGGCGTCGGGGCGGCTGCGCGCGGAGGCGCCCGCGTTCAAACAGCRACTTGAGTTAACTGGGCACTGAAAATAGAACTGCAGATTCAGAAACTGGAACCTCCCAGGGAATCACGTATGGCCAACCTGAAGGGCTTAAAAACAGCATCTCCCATTGGCACACCTGATTTTCTTTTCCTTTCTTTTTTCATCTGCTAAACCCTGTGTGTGAGATTCCAACCATCACCCTGCAAGTGCAGATGAGCTCACTGACAAGATAAAAAAGCTCAGAACCRTGGGGAAGATTTTGGTTTATCTAAGGTGCAAAGCCTAGAAGGAGCTGGCAAGAACAGCAGAACTTGAAAAGATCCTTGGAAGGGGGCAAAGCTTTTCAGTTCAGTTTCACTTTACCAGCCAAGGAAGCAGGTGAGGAGCAGAGGCTGCTGTTTGGTCACCTATGCCAGGAAGAAGAACATGTACCCTAGAAAATAAACTCTCAAAGTAAAAAAGCTCATGTTACAGCCATTAAAAGAAGAAAATACTACTAATAGATTTAGGGTAGAACAAACCTTCCTGTGATTTAGTATCATATGGGTGGTTTCTAGATGACCGTTTCCTCCCATGCACTGAACAAACATATGATGCTTTACATCAACTGAGGAACACGCACGCTCTGTACCACTTACCTCCAGCTCCACCGAGCGCCTGAACTGAGCTCTGAGCACCTCTCTGATGCCTTCACTGACATTCCGGAGAACAGCTCTTCGGGCCAGCACTGGAAATTAATGACACTCAGTAAATACATTTCAGCTGCATCTCTGGGGTCTTGGTTCAAAGCCACTTTTTCAATTGTGCAATGCATGAAAAAGCAGGCAGAGAGATCGACTACAGCAAATACATCAGACAATGAATCAGGAAACAGATGAAGATGTAACTGCATCCTAAAAAGTGATGCTAAATGAAATTTAAGGAGCTCCAAGGCTTATTCTGTTTTTTTTTTTTTTYCCCCATGTCTAACTTCCTCATTATTCTAGTAAAAGAATTTTCTTAAGAGCCACTGAGGCATTCAAAAAGGATCCAAAAGTCATACTGCATTCGCTCTCATCTGTGCACCACAATGAGYCTGCTGTCACAAGACAGTTAATGTTTTGCAGGCCATGCACAGAATGCAGACGAGGTCAAAAGAAAAAGAACAGACACAAAAAAAAAAATCTACTTTTCTCTTAAATAAAAAATAAATAACTGTAACGCTGATTACTGAAAAAGATACCAACTGAGTAAAAGACGCTGCTTTTAAAAAATTTACACCCTTATGGATGTTCTGTCTGCTACGATCACACTTCAGGCAGTGATTAGAGATGAGGAAACAACTGAGAAACATGATGTTGCCATTCTCTATCTACTTTTAATCAGTAACTAGCCTAAAAACTACTCAAATTACAAGTTAATAAAAAAGTCTTCCTCACCACCATCACAGTGAGCCCACCCTCCTACCTGGACCTGGRGGAGGGAACTACGTCCATTCTGATTCACATACTACACTTACTCAGTACAACTGACTGGCTACAATATGCAGTGCTCCCACAGCTGCCCTGTATTTGTTCTGTAGTACTGTTTTGTTAATAACCTACAGAGACACAGGAAAACACCAAAAAAGCAGACAGATGCTACAAGATCAYTGATTTTGAAACATACAGCTGTCACTTCCCTGGTTACAGTCACGCCAAATCCAACCAAAATAACTGAGGGGGGGGGGGGGAAACAAATGCTACCTAGTCCAGTAAAACGATAAAAATGCTAATAAAAACAAAAATTTTGAAACTAGATTTCCTGTTTCATTTAAAATATTTCCCTACATGTAGGATTTTGCTTTTGAACAACAGCAACAGCTTTAAAGAGAAGCTTATTCAGGCAGYAAGTAAATTTAATAATTTGGCAGAACAGGGCCGTGACAAAAACATTCATTTTCAGCCAACCAACTGACAAAGCAACCACAAATACAACTTGCTATTATGTAGGTAAAAGCAATTTTAAAACATTATTTCATTCACTGTGTGCTGCAATGTGTATGTAATTCACTATCACAAWGGGCTTTATTGGAGTGAGCTCCCTTATTTGCAATAATAAATGATAAATCAACAGGTTTACAGCTGGTTGCCCAAAGTTGCGCCGTATTCCTTTGCAGCTAACTCAACACTTGCTGCTTAACTACGAGATCGCCTGGCAGTGGTTTCTGGAAAACAAAATGCAAGTGCTGGAAGTGCCTTACCGGCGGTGACRAGGTAAGCGTCGGGAACGGCGATGTCGCAGACGTAGGGCGGCCTGGTCGTGCTCGGGGCCGGGGTCGCAAACGCAGCTGCAGACGCAGTAGTGGCTGCCACAGGAGGGGACGAGAACGTGTCCGGGCTGCTCTCCGTAGCTGCCGGGCCACGGCTGCCCTCAGCACTCGTGGCACTGGTCGGGGGGACAGGGCCTGTTGTTGCATCAGCACCGTCGGCCACGTCAGTTCTCGGGGGAATGTCGTATTCCGTGGGAGTGCTTGGAGAGGGAGGGGATTGCGTAGGGACAAAGGATGGGGTCACTGATACAGATTCTGCAGGAGAGGGAACAAGGTYGCTCACGTCGCCCTGTGAGGTGGGATTGTCAGGATCCGCGGTCGGAAGCGCAGTGCTAGCACTGACCTCGGCGTAGGATGTTAAAAGCAACGTGGGGTTACCTGTAGCACCAGTATCCTCATCAGGAGCCAGAACAGTTGACAGTAGAGATGAAGATACATTTAAGACAGGAGTTGTAGGAAAGGTAGTAAACAAGGAGACCACGTTTGTTTCATTGAGCAAGATGCTGCTGGTAACAGACTCGGTGTCAGCTATGGACAGCACCGGGGTAGGAACCACTGGCTGAGAAGAGAAGAGTGAAGACTCTAACGCAGAGGTAGCTCCTGTAAAAGCTGAGGTAAACAAAACTTCAGAATCCATTAGCAACACTGACGTTGCCTCCAGAAATACAGACAAGTCTGAATGAAAACGTGAGGATGGCATTACTTCAGGAACCTGCGTCCCTGGAACAGAGGATGCGCTTGAATAGAAGTATGACGTTTGCCAGAGCGGGAGCTGAGACGCCTCAGTGTCTGTGCTGACAGGGGTAGCTGAGTCCCAACTGGAAGCATCCCCAGCAAGCGCYGATGTCCCAGTCAACAGGGTCTGAGGTAACAGTGTGGCTACCTCACTTGGCATGAGAGAGTAAGAAGTTAGTATGGCTGCTGCTGATGAAGACAAGTAGCTAGGTTCAAAACGAAATGGTGTTGATAGGGAGCTGGATGGAAAATCCGTAACATTTACAGGTGATTCCTCCCTTGTCAATGTCCTGTCAAGCAAAACTAAAGATTCTGATGGCGTAAATTCTAGTGACTCCAGAGCAGTTGTCTGACTGATTGCAAAGGATGGTTCCGGCTCACTCAAGGTGAAGGTAAATTCAAGGGGAGCACTGGTAGCATCAGGAAGATCTACACTAATGCTCGGTGTTAACAGAAGAGTTTCCACAGCAGGGAGGGAAAACTGAGCAGAGGAGACGTTCAAAGCCATTCCTCCAGAGAGCTGACTGTAAGGAGGAAAAAATGCTGTAGGCATTTCATTGTTAATGGCAGCATCCACAGTGCTTAATAGAAACATGGTTGACTCGGGGATTGCTGCGAATCCTGAAGAAAACGAAACAACAGGTCTGGAGGGAAAAGAAGTATCAAAAGGTTCAGGCGTCGGCTCCTCTAATTCATACACATCAGCTATTGCAGTTGTAAATGGACTTAGGCCTTTTACTTCGGAGGCCTGCAGAGACAGAGTTTCGGGGTAGTCACCTGAGCCCACCTCATGCTCTGCAGAAAAGCCTGGCTCTGCCAGGAGGGAAACCGAGTCACAGGACAAACAAGACAGGGATGATCTAGTGAAAGGCACTGGGCTTAYGAGCTCGCTGGAAAGCTCAGACTGACTCGGTCCTTGGGACCTGGCAGGCAAATTTGGTGCTGAACTGGAGAATCCGTGTGTAAACAAGCTGCCGTTCAGAACCACGTCAGCGTCACTGAACGTGACACGGGAGGGAACCGGGAGAGATGCAAGCGGAAAACTCATTGGAAACACAGCAGGCTCGGCACTGCTTATGGAAACTGGGCTGGCCCACGGAGCACTGGAAGTCGGATGGCTCCTTCGACTGACAGCTGCTGTTGCCCTGCTCTCCACATCGGTGTCACTGTCACCATGTGGGGCTGAACTCGGTGCTGTAGCCTGTGCTGCTGTATGGCTGCTTTCACCGAGCAGCCTAAGAACAGCCGACCCGTCTGAAGTGGCCTCCCAMGGCAGAGATGTTAAACTCTTACTGATGTTCTCCCACCCTGCAACTACCTCTTGTGGAGGAATGGGAGTGAAATATATGTCTGCGCTTGGAGGATGCAACAGCGAGTCTCTGCTTGCAGTTAAGATGTCCCTGTCTGGTACAAAAGGTGGGAATGTTGTCAGCACGTTGCTGTCTTCAGAGACARCACTTAGCGGTGTCTTCTGCAGCGCTGCTTCCATGTCATATGGCAAAGAGGAGACTGATAAGGAAGGTGTTAGCAACACAGTTTCCAGCGTGTCTGGTGGTGGCTGGATTGTATTAACTGAGTGAGGAGCTGTTAAAGGGGCCAAAGCCTCRGGCGGCGGAGTCCAGGGCGCCTTCGGGAAGGAGCTGACGGATTCCTCGGCGCTCGGGAGGGCTTCGCTGCTGGTTACGGCGACGCGCACGGGCGGGAGACTTCCCCCTTCCRACCGCCCGGCCGCTTCGCCTGCGTTCAATGAAGTCACATCAAGGGGAGCGGTAACTGAAGATAAAACCGTTTGAAGAAAACTACGTTCTGGGGAATCCAGAGTACTTTTTGCTAAGGCCATATATGTCCTGCTGCCTGATATGCTTTGGTGCACCTTTGAGCCCACTGAGGAAAGGGAAAAATTTTGCTGCTCCACGGATACCTCATCTAAATTGAGAGGGAAAGAGAAAGAGAGAGAATAAAAGTAACAGATTAGCACTAGCAGCACACGTGGACCCAGCAACATTGCAAACTGCGCTTCTGGAGAGCTCTGCCAAGAGCCTAAAGGGCTGGGACAAAACCACTCTGTACTTGAACAACCTCCATGAGTTGGTCAGCCCAAATAACAGCTTTCCTTGYGAAACTCCCTTCCTTGGGAAACGAGTAGGACAACTTGACTCTTCTCCTACAGAGCTGCTGTCCTGCCAGCCCCCCCCCAAGGACAGAAAGCAGCTCCCTCCTACCCGCACGAGGCTGCAGTGCAGCTCGCTAGCCATTTCACACAGCAAATCAATCAAAGAGCACGGAGGTGCAGTGCAGAGAAACGCTTTGCTATCTTTATGAATCCAATTTAGAGCTTCTGCTTTCCATTAGTACCACTTCATTTCCTCCTGTTTTATGATTTCCTAATCCTAGGCTCACCAGCAGCTCAGCGCAGCGCTGAGTGCAGGCGAAGCAGCAAMCACTGTATTGCCCTGCTAGAGCAAAGAGGCAGGGCAGGGCCAACTCTGGCCCCCAAAATCTACTCTCTACCATTAAACACACACACGCTTTTGAATATACACTGTTTAAATACCAAAGAATCAAAGCATCAAGAATTCATTGACAATATATTGCTCGGGCACTGAAACATGAGGTCTCCATCTAATGCAAGGGCATATGTGTTTTTTCAGCGGACATAGAGTATTTGCAAAAATGGTCCCCATTCACTTTTACTGACCCAAAATTCAGACAACCTTCTTGTCCTCTATCTAAAAAATAGTAGGGAGGCCTCATGCCCTTTCTACTGCCTCCCAGCAGCCTCCAGAGACACATGCAGAACTGAGACTGCTTGCCTTGATCCTGAGAAAAAGGTGTCTGCAGCAGAATTATATTTGCTTATTCTTGTCTCTGTCTTTCAGTTCACAGCGTCTGAGCTAGAGCACAGAAAACCCCCAGTCCTGCTAGAACTTTTAGATGCAGCAAAACACTAAAACCGCAGTGGGAGTTACTTTCTTCCCAACGTGGTCCATCCACTCTCCCCGCTGACGTTTGAACATGACTACTCTTGTGTCTCACTAGAAATCCTAGTCATGACCCTGAGATGCTCCCAGCCAAAATTACTAACAGCTGATACCTCTGGGCAATACTTTGGTGTCTGAGTCATACTTTGKAAGTGCAGACTGCACACAGGTTATTACTGGGGGTTGCTCTCCATCTTCACCCTAGTTTTACTGGCCATTTTCAAGACATCAAACTCTTGCCCAAAAAAAGCAAACTTCAAGCAGGACTTTTTTGCACCGTTTTCAAGACGAGCTCCTGCCAGTACCTGCAATGAGTGACATTTATGCCACTTGTGAGAGATGAAGAGGGGCTGCCTGCACATAGGACACAGTAGGATGCTGATGTCAATGGCAAGAATTTGCTAAGAAAAAAACGTCCCGTAGCTGCATTTCTGTTGCCTGCCATTCGCCTCCCATCTGCCCTTTAAACAGTCGGTGGCAAATTGCTTCATTCCAGAACTGCCATCTTCACTCATATCCACAGCAAGAGTGCTTAGTTTATGGGCCACCTATAATAAAACTTCACTGTTCCCATTTACAGAATTTCAGCAGTAATAGCTGGCTTCGGGGACAAAAGAGAAAAGCTAAGAATTCACTACATATTTTAATCAAGATGCTTGCAACAAACTACGTATAAATACTATTTGCATTAGTTGAGTATAATTCATTYCCTCTCACAAATGCATTCTTGGGGCATTGTGAAGATCTGAATATAACCTTTTCCAACCATGGATGTATTTTGCAGAGAGATCGTAGATTATTGCTTGAGTATTTTCCTGAAGTGTCAAGACTGCATTATTAGCTTTCAGAGCTGCTTATTAAAGGAAACTGAAGAAAAATTGCTCCAGGACATCTTGCTTGGATATGCATAGAGCCTTCATCCTTACATTAGCTAAGCCATCTGACCACCCTGTCTTCCCAGCATTGCAGCTTTCCTACACAAGTGCCTTGCAGTGCTCCTGGAACCTACTGACAACACGCACTAAAAAGGTGGGGAGGAGGTAACGAGGAACCCGTGCAGGCACCCACTGAGGGGATGGGCTGAAATACAAGCAGCAATGCAGGGTAGAGAGCGTGCACAGTGCTCAGTGCAGGGCTCAGCTGCGCCCCAGAGGATGCCTCCAAGCCCGTAACCCACGGGAGCCCCTCACAGCAGCTCACACAGCCAACACRTGCAGCCGCCTAACAGCGCTTCCCAAAAACGATACTTTGCTGCAATTATCCCCTCCTTCGCCCGCCTACTAAACTCCCTGGAAGGACTTTTCAAACACTGACCTACTGAATTGATCTATTTTGGATTAGATGATCTGTAAAGCACAATTAAAGGTGAGAACTAATGCATGGAGTCAATGCCACTCATCACCCCTAATAAAACCACTATAAAATGCACTATGATACTACCCTATACATTACAGAGCCAAAGCACACACACATTTTGCAGCATAACAGACAGCATTCTCTTAAATAGCCTCAATCTTATTTTCCTCCCAAAACCCAAAGCAGGTATAGCTAACGAAGCTTACGAAGGGTTAAGGGGTAATGACAAAAGCCTTACAGCATTCTCAAGGAAAACATAACAATAACAAAAGCTAGTTACTGTGCTCGCCTTGTAAAATTTGTGCAGCTACGTCCTTGACTCCCTCCCCAGAGCTGCACCGCTGAGCACAGCGCGGGGCCGCAGGCTGCGATCACCACTTCCGTGTGCTGGGATCACCACTTCCATGTGCTGGGACCACCACTTTTGTGTATTGGGATCACCACTTTCATGTGCTGGGATCAATCCACTTTCACYGGCACTTGAACACAGCAGGAGCAGCCGCTCCCAACAAGCCGGGATCCCAGTCATGGCCCCTGAGCAGCGGCCGGTGACTGCAGCCCCACACAGGAGTCAGAAAAAGTTTCCTTTTCCATAAGAGCTTCCCTGATCTTGCTCCTTCATTTGACTTTTTCAGACTTTGGGTTTCTTTTTTCTGCACATTTTGTGTAAGCAGGGAGTTAGTTAAAGAAAAAACAATGCAGGACTATAGAAAGAATGCTGTCAAAACGAATCACTTCACACAGACACATGCAGTGTCTATGACACATGCAGTCATATCAGAACTCCTTTTAGCTCATCCAGTAAAATACCGTCCATCTTTGGCACACTTTGCATGCTGAACACTTGCTTAAATTGAAATAAAATGAACTCCAAATTATAGCCAAACATAGCAATAGATACATTTCTCATCTTTATGATTTCACATTGCATTTCCTTACGGCAATAACAGAACAAGGCAGATGCATTAGACACCTTCAAAACAAAAATGACAAGCCCTGCATTGCTATAGAAGCCATTTTCATCCTGACTAGCTTCTAATTGGAGAGCTCACTTCTGATGACGATACTCACACCTCCTCCCCGGGCAGAGCAAAGAGCAGCACCAGCGACACGCGTCCCCGCYGAGCGCGTCCATCGTCCCTCAGCCCCGCGGAGCGGCCCGCGCCTCGGTGCCGCCCGCGCGCGGAGCTCCGCAAGGCCACGTTCTGCCGCAGGAGCCACAGACCCAGGAAGAGGCACTGGGAAGACTTAGCGACATGGTMGTAAATGATACACGGGTAAGGCAAAGTAAAGGCAATTTTGGCTTTGAAAACACTGCTGTTTAACARTTAATTGTTATTGAGAGACAGATAATGTTCTCTTATGAGCTGCACATAATAGTGTAGTTCAATAGTAACTAAAATAATAGCAACTTATGTTCTTATAGCAAAAAATGTTCCCACTCATGCAAGGAAGGAAACTCAATTTCTGGGAAAGAAGTTGCCTTTTCTTTTTTTCTTCCCCTTCTCTAGCTTTTTAAGAAAAACATCACCCCCAAAACACGACAGATCTTGGAAAGCTTGCAAGCCACAGGACATGGCAAGAGCACGGATTACTCGAGGTAAGTACGGAGGGAGAAACTCACTTCTGCATGCTGGATTTTGAAACAAGAACYCGCTGGCAGGCCTGCAAGCCCGTGCTCCGTCACATTCGCTTTGCTTGGCTTATTAGGAGCTGGAGCTTGAACAATGTGCCGTTAATAACGTAAAGGACTGT